ATTTTTTGTTTTTGTTTTTAAAAGAAATTCCAGTACTTGAATATCTCTTGACTTTAAGACCAACTGTGCCACATCAGAGTGCCGTAGGTAGTTACATATCCACCAGTGTCTGTTCACTCCTTGACGTATTCTTCCTCATGTCCTTTGGGCCTTAACCGTTTTCAGATTCTTGCTAGTGCAAGTTTTAGAAGTCAAGCTAAAAGTGGTGTTGCTGTCTTCCTGTTTATTTTCTTCCTATCAAGGAGGGTGTTTTCAGCTCTGATTGGATATCCTTTAGGTACATTGAGTCACACAGTATGGCATGTTGGGATTTCTTCTTTTTCTTTGTCTTTGTTCTTCATTATGAATAATAGAACCCTTTTCGTTCCAGGTACTGTTAAAATATGTAAGATTTAAGCCAATAAAAATGATTGTTTATTCTCTTTTGTGGTGGTATTCAGAAATAATACTTAGGACATTCCTCTCCTTGTGTTATTTATGATATGTTTCTCAATGCTGCCATTTAAAAAAAATCATACTTTAGTGGTTTTTTTACAAGGTTAAACAATACCACTAAATGATGCTAGAAAGAAGTAACAAGTCTTCTATGACATTTCGCTCTTCCCCTTGCTATATTCAGGAGCCTTTGTAGTTCTGTGGATCAGACACTGGGTTGCTAGCTGCAAGGTCATAGGTTCAAGTCCACCAGCCATTCTGAGGGAGAAAGATGAGCTATCTGCTCTTATAAAGCTTTGACTCAAGTGCCCTATATAAGGTTGTACTTGGCTCATTGGCAAAGGGTTTGGTTTGGGGCTTGAGCTGGATTGTGTTTTTCAGATCTAGTCTCTTACACTCCTTAGACTGAAGATTTATTGAATGATCACAAGGTTTATAAAATATAAGCATCAATGGTAATTTTTGAAAAGGACCACCGTTGATTTTCTTAAATCACATCCACCCAAATAACAAATGTTAGTTTTCTGAGGTTTTCCCCCTAAACCTGTACTGTACCTATCTTGGCAAATAATTTCTTTCTTTTGCTTTAGCTTTTCATGATTTTCATTTCTAGATGCCTAAGAAACTAAATAGAAACCCAGGCATTGTGGTTACACATTGAGCTGTGAACCACAGGGTCAGCAGTTTGAAACCACCAGCTGCTCCTGGTGAAAAAGACAGGACTTTTTACTCCCATAAGCACTTACACTCTTAGAAACTCAACAGAGGAAATTCTACCCTGCCCTATAGGGTTGCTATGAGTCAGCATCGACTCAATGTCTATGAGTTAAGAACTAAATATAATAGTTCTTTATGTAAACTAATAAATTTCATTTTTAAACCAAAATTGACTTTTTTTCTTAGAGCCATCTTAATGTTTACATTCTTTAAGCTTTGCACCTCCATGCGAAGTTTCAGAGTGTATAGCTGTGTATGTATTACGTGTATACACAGAGTGTATAGCTGTGTATGTATTACAGGGCCTTAATCCAATATCAGGTCTGTTATACCAGCTTTCTATACTTGTTATATGCCAATAGGAAAATCTTTCAAAAAGCATTTCTTATATTATTAACTATTGGCAATTGGGGCCAGATAATTCTTTTAGGGGTTTTCTTATGTGGTAAAGGATGTTTAGCAGCATCTCTGGCCTCTCCCCACAAAATGCAGAATAATGTGCCCACCCTACTCGGTGTTTTTTGTTTTGATTTTTTTCTTTAAATATCAATTGTGACAACCTAAAATGCCCGTGAACATTGCAAAATATCCCCAAGGGAGCAACCTCATTCTCCTCTGAGAACCTGTGGCCTACATCCAATTTGTTACTTAATTTTATTGATTCTACTTTTCAAATATTTCTAAATCCCACTCCCTAACCACCTCAAACTCACCTCCCCCTTACACACACACACACACACACACACACACACACACACACACACGCTTCAGAAGGGTTCTAACCAGGCTCTCTTTGCTAGATGTTGCCTTCTTCTAATCTACCCCTTTCACAGTTGAAAAAGTTATTGAAATGCAAAGCCACACACTATTTATAAAAAATACCTCTCAGCAGGGACCCTGGTCTACTGGCTTTGCCTTTGGCCTTATTCTAGAAAGACACACTCACTTATGGTTCTTGCTATGGACAACATACTATGATCTCTTTTCCATTCTGCCTTTGTTCAATTCTGTCCCAATACTTTGTTTCTCAGATTGACCTCTCACTAACCCCAAAAATGTAGCATGGTGAGGAGCATTTAATTTTTAACTCATATGTCTTCTTCACTGGATTGAAGTTCTGGAGAACGGAGACTATCTCTACCCGAGTACTCTCAGCATGTGGTAGATATTCAATAAATGCTCAAATCATGTATTAGTGTGCTTCATTAGATGTAGTAACATCCCCTTACTTAATAGGGATTCCTTTTCTTGTATCAGCAGTGAAAATTCTTATGTTACTGACCTTTGTCTAGCAGACTTTGATGGATAGACTATTGACTACAGAGGTCTTGAACTACAATTTTCTTTCTTAAGAAACCAGCTATTCACAAGGGAATTAAAGGAAGTTGGCTATTTAATTGATAATCAAATATACTTTCTTAGGTAGAATAGCTAGTTTAAGGATTTTTTTTAGAAAAGAAAGTATGTATTATGATGTGGAAAGTATTAGCCTCAAAGCATTGCATTTCCATGAAAGAGTGATTTGTTGTTTGGACATATAAAGCTTGCAAAAGAACTCATCATCTTAACAACTTTTTTTTTTCTCTCTCTCTAGATAATTACCAGCCTATACTATTTCCCCCCTCATATTTAGGGTGGGGGGAGATCAAGCCAGTAAATACTAGAGTATGCCTGTCTTATGTGCCTTAGAATTAAAATACAGTTTTCTGTCAGTGCATTTCCCTGTAAACTGGATCTAGCCTACTCAGAGTGAACCTGACCAACTGTACGCACACTTAGAACTTTCACTAAAAGTAAGAAAAAAATAGAGGATTCAGGGTTTTTGGAACATAACCCAGGCTGTTAAGTACCAGCCTCACTCTAAGTCAAGGATCTAAGAATGAGGAAAGGAAATGAGTAAGACCCACGCCCAGTGGAGACTAATTCTATATCCTGGCACAGTGCCTGGCATCAGGGTTGATAATTATGTGTTGAATGGGTTCATATATGATCACAGCCAAGCAAGATGTGAAGACTCTGCCTCATTTTATAAAGAGTGACTCAAATGTGTCCCTTCATTTCAAAAGCGATTCTTTAATAAGAAAAGCCGTTATGGTTGTTGGGTGCTAACAAGTCCGTTCTGATTCATAATGACCCTATGTGCACAGGACAAATCACTGCCTGGCCCTGTGCCATCCTCATTCTTCTTATGTTTGAGCCCACTGTTAAGGTCACATGCTGAAGACCTTCCTCTTTTCACTGCCCCTCTACTTCACTAAGCATGATACCCTTTTCCAGGGACTGGTCTCTCCTGACAACATGTCCAAAGTACATGAAATGAAGTCATGCCATCCTTGGCTTCTAAGGAATATTCTGGCTTACGTCTTCCAAGACAGATTTGTTTCTTTTGGCAGTGCAGGACACTTTCAAGATTCTTAAGAAAAGAGAAAAAAGACTTCACCAGCACCATAATTCAAATGCATCCATCCTTCTACATTCTTCCTTATTCAGTCTCCAACCTTCACATGCAAGGGAAAGATCCAGGGTGTCTCCCAGGCACCCCCTCTTCATGCTGCACTCCCTTTAGGCTGAAGCACAGACAGGAAGCATGTGTGACACTCAGGACCTAGATTTCCTTTACCTGTTGTAATTTCTCTCCTATCGTTTTTCCTTCCTTTAAAGTTTGTTTTAAGACCTTGAGCTATTTTAGAAAACAAAAGTGATGTGCAGAGAGAGGAAAGAAGTGAACTTTATTTTTCTTTAATTAGGGTAAATAAATAAATGAGATGTAGACAAAATTTCCATGTCAACCTTTTCACATTTAGAGTTTTTGATATTATATTTCCCATATTAAACCCTCACCTCTATTCATTCCACCTTTTAAAATCACACCAGAAGCTCACTCTCCCCTGATCATTGAGAACCCTTTTTTCTCTGCCTCCTGTTCCTTGGAATTACTGGTGAATTTTGGTTTCTATAGCCTTATCTGGAGGCCTGGTGGCTGATAAGTTACCAGTTGGGCTGTTAACCTCCTAACTTTCATGTAATTGGGATCATATAATTTTGTCCTTTTTTGACGGTTTCTTTCAGTCACTAATGTTTTCAAGGTTCATTCCTGTTGCGGGATGTGCTAGGACTTGTTTCTCTTTAAGGTTGAGCGATCGTCCATTGCATATGAAGGGCTTCAAAACACTTGTAGAAAATGCCATTCTCTCATAATTCTATTATAGGTATATGTACCACATTTTATAAATCCATTAGTCGATTAATAAATATTTAGGCTTTCTGCCTTTGGCTATTGGGGTGTGCGGAATCTGTGGTAAACGCTATTTACAAAGGGATTCTTACTTAGAACTTGAAAAATTTTACATGATAATTCTGTGTATTTGTAGAGCAGCTCATGCTTGCATTTTAAGTTTTAAAATTCTGTAATAACCTTACTATTTACTATACATGTTTGAATAGTCCTGGTTCTTGAAATGTTGTGTATGTATCTATTTTACGTGATTGGCTGAGGTAAAAGTTACTCTCTGGGTTGAGCAACTCTGTCTCCCATTTACTTTTTAGAACAGTAGATACTACACTGGATGGACGTCTTACCAAGAAGTCACTAACCCATTGTCAGGACAAGGCAGATAAAAATGGGTGAAAATGCTTAACCTAGTGACAATCAAATAGAAATCAATTGTAGTTATATAAGTGGGTCTAAAAGATTAAATAATTAGAATATCCAAATGTGAAGAAGAGTGTCTCATTTCAGGGGCTAAGAACTTGTTGGTTAAGCAGTCTTTGTCACTGTTTCGTGGTCTCTAGTCCAGTGGGCTAGACCAGGTTGCTTTCAGTTAGCCATTTTATTTTCTCCTCTGCAGGGAACAACCCATCTTCAGCACTCGAGCTCATGTCTTCCAGATTGACCCAAACACAAAGAAGAACTGGGTACCCACCAGCAAGCACGCAGTTACTGTGTCTTATTTCTATGACAGCACAAGAAATGTGTATAGGATAATCAGTTTAGATGGCTCAAAGGTAAGTTAAATTTACTTTTACATTATCCTGCTGGTTTGCTTTATATATTATAGTATTTCTCTTGCTTTTTTGTGCCCTCACCCAGAGGGTTTAATCTTCATATAATAATATTTCCCTGTCAAGTTGCAAAATTTAGCTTTTCAAAAACAACTGATCATTCTTAGGATGGCAACGTTTTTTTGTCCACTAAATGACTTGGATTAAACACTGTTATGTGAGTTAAATACAAAGTATTCTACACCTTTGAGGCTATTTGGTTTCGTTGTTAAATATTTCTGGCATATGTATTCTACACCTTTGAGGCTATTTGGTTTCGTTGTTAAATATTTCTGGCATATCTGTTATGTGTCAGGCACTTATGTGAGGAGCTAATCATACAGTGGTGAACAGAATGGACGTAGTCTCTGTTCTCCTGGAGGAACTAAGTACAGTGTAGGGAGGAACTAGAATGCTTTTCAAATGCACTTAAAGAAAATCCCAAGGTCACCTAGTCAGTAAATATCAACACTAGAGCTGACATCCGTATTTAAGGAGAAGCAAATAGTTTTGGCTAAGATAATGGGGTACCTGGATCAGCTCTCCACTTCACTATCCTGAATCTGTAGACTTGAGATGAATTGCTTTACTTCTCTGAGCCTAGGTGTTCTCCCCTCAGTGCTGATAACTGTGTAAGGGTTAAATGTATTAGCATCTGCCAAGGACACAGTGCCTGGTGTACAGTCTACCCTTAAGAGGGGTGAGAGAACCCATTTTATTATCACCGATGCCATTTGTTTCATATACTTAAATAAAGACATCCTCAGCTTTGGATCGCAGTATAAAATGTGTAGAAAGGTTAGCATCCCTTTCATCTCCTCTCTTAAATTTTCTTGAATCATTGGAGCCTTTCACCTCCCAGAACCGTGAGGGGTCTGGTGTCAAAGTTCAGAGCACAGACTACAATTGGAATGTCTGGTTTGAGTTTTTGCTCTACTCTTTACTAGCCATGTGACCTTGAACAATGGCATATAACTTCTGTGTGCTTTTTCCCCCCCGTCTATAAAAAGGTGTTCTTAGAACTACATAAACCACCACCCTATGGGGTTGTTGTGAAGATGAAATTAATTAATATAGGCAGCAGCACTTAAAAGCATGCATAATAAATTGCTGTTATTATTATTATTACCATTATTGCCTAATGGATTTGGGATATGAAAGATCATTTTATTTAATATTATATTTGAATTTATTTGTGTGTGTGTGTGTGCTTTCCCCTAACTAAATTTTTGAACCCAGGAGCTATGTATATTCTCTGTCTTAAATGATGCCTTATGCATATAAGGCCATATGTTGGCATATAAGGCCAGCATGTATTTATTTCAGTATTTGACCTTCTTTTCGTTTTCACTTAAGGATTTAAAGGACTTAGAAAATAGTAATAGTTAAGTTTTTTAAAACTTTATAGATTGAAGAGTACCTTATGTCATACTTTGTAGCTATTTGGTTTCATGAAATTAATAGATATATAAGTATAATAATATTACTCTATAGTATCACTTTTTCCCCTTTCTCCTGACACAAATCATCCAATTCTCTGTAATCTGTTTATCTCTTGCCCCCCTCAAACATCCCCAGTACAATATTGTGTTACTAGAGAGGAAGTTAAATGATATATAAAGGTAAAAGTTAACTGATAAAGTCCTGTGAACAAGATTATAAACAATGGCAGTGTTTAAGTTGATTCCAAGTAATAACTTAACCCTCACAAGAATAAAATACAGTACTTCTGAGTTACTTCCAAGGACAGAATTTTGGTGATTACATACTCATTATGTATTCTTCCTTCTGAGGTAATATGAACTGTTGCTTCTGGCATCTCAATGATCGAATATACTTGGCTGCTTGTAATTATTAGAATCTTAAATTCTTGTGGAAAAAGAATTTTCTTTTGTCGTTTTAACAAAATCTACTTTCTACAGCAGTTACATTTTTCTGTTCCATTTTTTAATGATCTAGCTAACTTTTCTGTACGTATTTGACAAGGTAAAGGGGTGCTTTTCTCCTCCCTGTCCCACCTTATCCCACCCCATTCCCTGCACTTCCTGATTGAGTGACGGAGAGCCCTTAGGTGTCCATTTGTGCTCACAGTGCCTTCTCTCTGCATGCAGAGCACGCTGTAAAGTGCATCATACTGCTGAGGCCTCTGTAAAGTCAAGGGCACACGGCCTGATCTGTAAAGATGAAGCATGTTTGCCTCTTTTGCATGACAGGGCCAGAACTCTCAACAAGTGTTGAGAGATACTTTTTATGAAGAACTAAAATTTTCTTGAAAACAGATTAAAAACTAGAGTTGCTGTTGGGCTGGTACTGACTCTTGTCAACCCCACGTGTATGGTAGTAGAACTGTGTTCTGCGAGTTTTCTGAAGCAGATCTGCAGGCCTTTCTTCTGAGGTACGTGAGGGAACTCCAGCCCTTCACCTTCGTGTTAGCAGCAGAGTGCAGTGTTTACACCACCCAGGGACTCCAAATAGATTTCTGCTTTCTAGTCAACGAAGTCCAATAAACAAAAACTATTGTAGCATGAGATCATCTATCATTTTTAAAGTTTTTTTCCAGTGACAAAAGAAAACTAAAACAGGTTATACAGTGGAATGGAAAGTATCAGAATGAGGATGAAAAAGGAGTTCTTTTAAAAAGTGGAAAGAAAAAAAAAAAGTGGAAAGAAGTTAATTTTGAATAGATGCAATAGGGGTGACAGAAAATTGGCCAGTTTTCTTAGATGCCTACTAAACCTATTACCCCTCCTTTTCAGAGTGATTTGGGTCTTTTGTAAAGTGGCCTTCTCGCCTTGAATACACTTCCATCAGCTCTAGGGACACTCTGGTACCACCGAACCTGAAGTAGTGCCTGCCCATTCTTCCCATTCAGCTTCTCACGCTCTGTTAGAGCCTTCTCTCCTGAGCTTCATGGCTCTTTTCACACTGAAATTGCATTGGTCAACTCTTTATTTATTTATCCATTGACCAACTCCTTTTGTTCTAGAGAATGGAATCTATGATTACATTGCTATCTTACTCATCACAGTATACCACATATCTAGAATTCTGTTTGGCATTTAACAGATGCTCAGTTTAAAAAAAATTGGCTTTGTTAATACATCCTCTCCCATTTAGTTTTCCATTTGAGGACTATGCCACAAGTTAGGGCAGTTGTTAGCGTCCCTTTGTGGGATCTAAATTGGCAAACTGGTGAAAAGCCATTTTTGAACTGAAGGCTAAGGAGAGATCAGAGTATATCAATTTTGTCAAAATCTTAAGAACAGGAGCTCTCAAAGCCACAGATAGCACACCTGTTATCTTAGTGAGCTAGCAAGGGGCTCTCTCTGTTTTACTGTCCTCTTTAGGTGCACAAATGCCAAGCACTTTTTGTTATCACAAATACCTGCATAACTCACATTTTTACCTTTATATTATTGTTCATGTCGTGAACAATGTAGCTTTGTTCTGGAAATGTTTAATTTTCTTCATACTTAATAGTTTACCAGATGACTATTTATGGATTTCGTAACCTGTACATCTTTATTACTGTTGGAATAACTTCTTAATCTTAATTCTAGAATGTATTAGACTACCTAACTGAAGACAATTTTATATTTTTTACAGTACTGCCAGAGGGAATGAACTTAGTTAATATTTAAACCCTTGCATTTTATTATGGTGCTCCTCAAAATTAATATTTATTAACATACTAAAATCCTGGTTTCTTTAAAATTGTATATTAAGCAGAAATTGTGATTATTCTCCTTAACATGAATCTGTGATGCTTTATGTCAAGCCTTGGTGGTGCTGTGGTTATGCTTTGGGCTGCTGACCACAGCTGCTCTGAGCATGAGAGATGAGACTTTGTACTCCCATGAAGTGTGACAGTCTCGAGGAGTTGGAATCAACTCAGTGGCACTGACTTTGGCTTGACTTTTTGGTATGATGCTTTTTAGGAAAAGAAATAAGGTAAATATTTATGGATTTTTTTGGCCTTGATGAAGGAAAAATATGGAATAACTAAAAGTTTTTTTTAATCATGATAAATTTCAGTAAAGTATGCTTTAAGAAAATCCTGCATTTGGGGTATTAGAAAATTGGTGTCATTTGTTCTATTGATAAAAATAGGTAATATTTTTAAAAGATTCTCTGAAGGAAAGTATCTTACTTTTAAATGAAAAACTAAGGCCTACCTACTTCTTGCGGTGATTGTCCAAAACTAATAAATATGCATCTTTAACAGTCAAACTGAGCACACTAAAAAAATCTTTCAGTTTTCTGGAGCATAGCAAAATTTGAGTGCAAAATGTTTATTTCTTGACGGGTAAACATACCAATAGACTTAGTTCACATATTTCCATGTCAACTTCTTAAATCTTCAATATTGTTGCCTATTAGGAATCCTAAGATATTATATAACTAAGTGGTCCTGTGCTTTTGAAAGTCTGTTTGCTAATTTTGACTGGCTCTTCATCTTTGTTTGATATTCCAGGCAATAATAAACAGCACCATCACCCCAAACATGACATTTACTAAGACATCTCAGAAGTTTGGGCAATGGGCCGATAGCCGGGCAAACACTGTTTATGGGCTGGGATTCTCCTCTGAGCATCATCTTTCAAAAGTAAGTTCATTCATAAGATAAGAATAGAATTTTTTTTCCTTTCCAAGTCAGATATCTTAAATATATCAGAATGGGTTTTGTTCCCTCTCCAAGTTAGATGTCTTAAATATATAATAGCAAAGAGCATAGACGATAGGAGAAATTAATACTTTCAGCAAGAGACCATTGGATTCCACTCTGAATCAGAAAAATGGATTTACACATAAAAAACGATCATCATTGGTTGAAAAGGATTAAGGTGGTTAGTGTCTGTAGGTCAGGTAATAAAAAATGGAAATTATCCCTGCAGAATGGGTATTGCTCAGGAGTTAGCACTCTCAGGTGGAATGGCCTACACAAGGACCTAACAAGATAAGTAAGCCACCGGGCTTTTCGAACTTGTGAAAGCTCAGGAATAGGTTTCAGCTTTTTGATAGGCAGCTGGCAGGGAAACCTGCCTAAAACGGTGCCTTAGCTCAGTGTGGGCTACTCTGATACAGTATAGTTTTTGATGCTATGGGCCCCCTGAGAGCTCTTGGATAAATTAAGTGAGTTACTCTGACCAGAGAGGCCCATAAAATGTTGAGCATCCTAGGGCTAAATGTTGGAAATAAAGTTTGCCCGTGCCTCTAAGTGAAATCACTCCTGCTGCACTCAGACCAGCGGTACTTTAACTTCCTGTGGCTGTAGCATGGAGGAGGGCCACAGTAAGGAAAAGAAAACGATCTTGGAATACTAAAAGGACCAAGGGGATGACCATATTGACTTTTGCTCTTCAAATTTTGTGGCCATCTGAGTTGGGGTTTGAAGATTTATGCTTCCAACCTATTTGAACCATTTGGTTAAAAGGGTCATCCTATATTTGAAACACTTGTGATTTTAAGACACACAGCATCTGATGATGGGCTGAAAGTTAAAATTGTTGACATGCAGGGTAATCATGTCTCTTGTTATATACTTACATTTCTAAAGCTGCTGAAAACAGAAATCATTCCAATTCTTAATGAATTCTTTTTTTAAATCTCTATTTTTGAATATTTATTAACTTGAAGTTATATTAGATAGTAATTGAACCAGTTGCTTTCCTTGTTTGGGTTGGAAGTTTTTTTCTTACATTGTTTCTTTTTATTTTAACTTTTTAAATATAAATTATAGTTTAAAGCTCAATTTTAAGACAATTTTAACCTTTGCTGTGAGTAGTTATAAATCATTCTCTGTAGGGTGGTTAAGACAAACCAGAGTTATCTGGCTTTTCTTACC